TGACTGAATGGTGACACACAGAAAAAGAAAGTATTTTCAGGTCAAATGAGGGGATATGCAATATCACATGTTGATTAGACATGTGAAAATTTGCTTTTGAACACCCGCCAGGGATTTAGTCTCTTAAAACTGGTATCAGTACATGGAGCACATGTAACTTAACACGTGTACAGTGATATAAAAACACATTACAATTGTGAAATTATCTTGGCTTACCGTAAAAAGAATCATTCATCTAGTAATTTCCTGATTTCTGTTCACACTGAGAGGACAAAATGGAAGCTGCATTTATAAAAATATACATTTATACTTAAAATATGTGAGACAAAGTCTGCTTTAGGAGCTTAACATATTCTTATTAATAACATGGTGAGAGTTCACTTAGCAGTTTCACCCTCATGAATGAAAATAGTATTTGGAATAGTGTTTTTGCTGTACTTCATTCACAATTTACTTGTGAATGCTGAATTTATGACTTTCAACTTTAAACATATAAAACTGTGTAATCAATCTTTATAAGTCCCAATAAAAAAAAACCCAGAGCAATTATTCTGTAGGTTATTTATCTCCTGATGTCACAATTCTTCAAAGCTACTAAGAGAGGCATAGTTTCTTAGAGAAAAGGTATCACACCAAAATTAGTCCCATTTTATAGAGAAATAATAGGGAAGGAAGGAAGAAGACTCTGATTTTAATTTTATAAATTAAACCCATCATCCTAAAGAGCAAATCCTAGTACCCCCTTTAAGAGATGAGGAAAGTGAAGCTCAGAGAGGTGAGGTTATTGTGCTTGCCCAGAGTCTCACACCTGCCAAGCAGGGAAGTTAGGCTTCAAACCCACATCTCGAGGACAACACTGCTTATCTCTCATTCTATGAGAGCAGTGAAAGACCATCACATAACTTGAATAAGATTCACTGCTATTTGATTAAGGTGCCCAGAATTTATTCAAGGTCTATTCATATCAAATAACTTCCTTAATCACTAAATTAGATTTACTTGATTTAATTAACCCTCTAGGACCACCCCAGATGAACCTAATCAGCTCTTGCAAAAGGGCTCCTGTGGCAAATTCTCTGCTTATCAGAATTTTATTCTAGCTAAGCTCAAGGCATCAGCTGTCTATCTTGGGTTCCTCTGATTTGTGGCATACTTTGAGGCAAATTTCAGTCTCTCACTCCCTTTTCCTTCCTTCCTTAAGAAGTTTGTTCTTTTAAACAGCATCATCTCAAGCTTACCTTCATTCTTTTGGCAAAAGCTCTTAACACATCAATTTTTTGATCAAACACTTGAATGCAATGGCAAAGCTGCTATTAAAGAAATTTCTAACAGTATCTTATGCCCTGAAGATAATAGAGTTCACTTTAAGCCTCCTTTTCAAAACTACAAGCAACATTATTTTCTACACCAATTTCAGGAAACTCTGAGGAAAGTCCTAGATCACTGAAGCTCTCTGAAAGCAGGCACGAGACATTAAGGTGTAATAACTGAGGGTTATTATTCACTTTCCAAAGATACGTTAATGCAATAAAGTGTGACATTATTTATAAGGAAAAAAAAACATAGTCTTAAAATATTCCCTTATGAAATTTGAATTTTAACCCTACCACTTACTATTTATGAGAACTTGGACAAGTTTCTTAATTGAGCTCAATTTCCTCCTTTAAAAAATAGGCATAAGAAAGGCACTGATTTTATAGGGTTTAATGAGATAATCCATGTACAGTAGTTACTTTTGTGTCTGGCATATGGAAAGTGCTCAAAAATTATGATTTTTAATTTAAAATATTATTAATACTTTTGGGAGCCATCTGTAATTTTTCAGTAGGGAAATGCTCCTGGAAGCTTACTTATGTGAACATGTGTCTTTTTAGAAAATAGTCAATTCGTTTTTTCAATAGTTACATAAAGCAAAAAAGGGGGGGAAGCAATCAGAAAAATAGAGAGAAAGGGAGGGGCTAAAACTCTAGCCATGGCAGCAGATCCCTTGAGAGTGACAGGGAAACTTATACCAAAGATCATCTCAGTATATTGATTGTTACATAAATGACAGGCATGTAACTAGCAATGGTCATAGATGGCTTATGCCCGTTAGCACAATAAATTCAATATGGCTCTTCTGAGTTGAGAATATTTATACTCAATATAAATTAACGAACTATAGAAATGAGCCCTGGAAGTATAGTTTTGTATGGTCAATATAAATTAATTCAAGAATATAGACCACGAAAGTAACCTGGGGAAAAGGACAACAGAGGCAAACTTTGGCCTAAATACGAAAGGGAAATCTAGAAAGAAAATGAATACTTCTACTGTAATAACATTTACAATACAAATAATAAGTCAGATGTCTGATTAGGAGAAAGCATGGAAAATCTCTGCAATCCTGCTGAGAACTATCCCAGCAATCCATCAGTAATACTCTGGTTCATCTAATAAACTTTATTCTATACTTAGTCATGTTTACAGATATTAACAGTTATTCTGCTTTTATATTAATAACACCACACTTCAAAAATATGTCATAGTATCTTTTAGGTCAACATTGTTTAAAAACATTATCTTTGTATTCCAAACTTTTTGTCTTAAAATTTTTATAATAATTTTCTTTCTTTGTATTTGGTTTCTTTTAGTTATCTTATCAAAATAGAGTTTAATTTCTTTCTAACTTAAAAAAAATGAAATACACAATGTTCATTGTTGCCATTCCACTGCCATACTAGCATGCATATTTTGCCATTTTTCAGCAGTTCTAACAAACACACAGTGCAATCCTATACATTGGAGAAATGAATAAGGTTGCTGACTGAAGGTTTAAAAAAGAAAATGATCATCCGGTGATTACCAGAGGGAACGTAGGGTGGGGGGAGGTAGAAGAGGATATAGGGGAGATGAAGGGTGATGGAAGGAAACTTGACTTGGGGTGGTAAACACCCCAATACAATATACAAATAGAAGATGCCTCTTAGAATTGTATACCTGAAAACGATATAATTTTATTAACCAATGTCACCCCCATAAATTCAATAAAAAGAAAAAAAATAAAATAATCAACTGAGCCTTTGAACAAGGACACCATCTGTTTTTCATCCATTTTCTTGCTACTGTATTCATTGAACAGCTCTTACAAGAATAAAACCTTAAGAAACATGAACTTGTGGCAAGACCAGACAGAATATTCTGGAACTATGCTTTGAAGTAAAATCATTCCCTTAACATCAGGAGATTTAATACCACTATTTCACCATGAAAATAATCACAGATGAATGTTCTGACCAGGACTAATTATCTTTGAAGTTCTCTAAATTCATGCATTAAAAACAGTGCTTGACAAAACTCTTTACCTTATCAAAAAATTACAAAGAAAACAACTTGTGGGCAAAACTCAATCTAATTTGGTTTGTATCTAAAATCAAAGCTGCAATGTTAAGCAACATTAAAATATATGAGAATCATGTTATTAAGACAACCTAAATTTGAGAGCCTGACCTTTTGTGCTGATTTTACAGTTATCAAGGTGATGAAAGAGCAGCTGGGTGACAGCGGCCATTTAGCAATCAAACTCAGAACAATCAATATGTGGACTCTTTCCCTGTGATTGGTTTATGATACGTATTCAAATTTTGTACCAGCAAGTGCAGCTGTAAAAACAAATTCTATAACTGAAGCAAAACACACAAAAAATGAATATCAGGGGTTCAGAAGAACACTAACTCACACCTGGAAGAGTCCTGTGGGGTGTTCGCCAATCAGAACATCAGGAACGGAAGGCTTTCCTCAGAGCTTTAGCACATGCTGTTCTTTCTGTCTGGAAAACCCTCCTTCCTGGTTCACTCATCACATCCTTCAAATCTCCGCTGAAGTGTTACTTCTTTGCAGATGCCTTGCCTACCTTCCCAGATTCAACCCAGCTATAAGAATATGATACATAATATAATAATGTATGTGATATAATAATAATATTTAATAAAAATATAATGTGTACTTTTCCTCCATAGCTATTGCCACAGCTGCAACTTCACTTTTTTCTTTTCTTTAAATCCTTATTGTATTTTTTCCATGACCATTTAGTCCCCTTGTCTCTCTCTCCCTGCAGCAATCATTACACGGTTGTCCATGTCCATGAGTCCTTTTTCCTTTTTTTTGCAACCTTATGTTTTGATGTGTGATTATTTGATCAGTTCTCCCCCATTAGACCGTAAGTCTCATGAAGAAAAGGGGTCCCGGATGCTTATTCTCACCACGATAGCCCCAGAGCCCAGCAGGAGCCGGGCACAGAGTAGACACCTGACGTGTGATCAGGGAATGACGAAAGGGAAGGGAAGGGTAGGGACAGAGTAACTATAGTTATTCGGTAATGTGATGACCCCTGGTTGGGTCGGTGAAAATGATGACTAGAATTCTACTCTGAACCAAGGCCAGGATATTCTGGAGGCAGGATTTTAAATGAGAGAGTGGCTGTCCTGACACGGTGGCAACCTTTTCGAACCAGTGTGTTCACAGAGCTGATTCCACAGCAAAGCCATCGAGACAGGAGTCCTCACCAGCTTGCTTGGGAATCCAAGGGTTAATATTCTGCTTTGGTCTCTTTGGAGGGGGAGGAGGAGGATAGAGTTTGAGGTTCACGAGGCCAGGAGGAGTCAGCCAGAGGGAGAAGTCACCGTATCAGGTCTTAGAAGCCTTCCGGATACTCAATGAGCCCTCCGCGAGCCCTTCCTGCTTTCCAGACCGCAGCCAGAACCACCTCGCTCCTAAGCACTGTCCTATGGCTTATTAAAACTCAAATATTAATGTAACACACATTGACTGACATAACCTGTGATGGCAAGAAAATAAAAGGCAGCCCAGTAACACAAATGTAAAGGGGCTTTTACAATGTTAATTAATAGATTTTATTTTAGGGAAGTTCTAGATTCAGATGAAAAACAAGTGGAAAGTACAGTTCTTATATTAATCCCCCTCCCCATTTCTAACGTGTCTTTTTTTTTTTCTTTTAGCCAAGGGAGAGTGCAAATGAAGTCCCCCACTACCACAAATTACGCAGCCAAGTTTCCCACATTTGGGGAAAACACGGAGGCCAGCACACCTGGAGCGCAATGGACAAGCCCCACCCTGGGAAACCCACCCTTGTGATCACAGTATTTCCCCTGCCAGGTAAGTATTAAAGTGTCTTTTTTAAAATATAAGTTTAACTGCCAGAAAATAAAAATGCTCTGAGATTTGTCCCCTTTGTTTCATGTTATCTGGCAAACTTTCTATTTTAGGTAGGAGTCAACATTACTTTAAATAACTTCATTTTTAGTTTATTTCAGAAGTAAGAAAGTTAATAAATACTGATAAGAAAGAAAAGAAGGAAAGAAAGAAAGAATAAAGGAAGGAAAGAGAAAAGAAGAAAGGAGGGGAATGGGAGGGAGGGAGCGAAAGAGAAGAAAACTCAAACAGTCTTTTCACGCAAAGGTAACTACAAAAGGGATATGGAGCATATCTTCCTTTACTTTTTCCTGCATATGTATTTTTAACTTTAAAAAAAAACTAGGGTAATGTTCTACTATTATTTAAACAGATGATGGTTAGCTATACAATGGAATACTCCTGGCCATCTCTGCATTTCATTAAATATTTTTCAACATCATTTTTAATGGTAGCATAATATTCCTTTTATGGATAACCGACATCTATTTAACCAGTGCCTTCTAGCTTTGGACATTTAATACTTACTTGTGAAATTGCAAGTATCTATTTTCCCAAATTCATTCTTTTTTACATCTTTAGGGAATGGTGGTTTGTAGGATGGGAAAGCCAGGGCAGTGAAACACTAGACAATTTATTTTAATCTTTATACAATATACTAGTGTTGGCAAGGCAGGAGAGAAGAAAAGCTCTTCCTATGACCCTTTTTAACTTTAAATGGATGTGCCCAGTTCAAGGCCAGCAAAGTGATAAATAGGTTTTGGCAGCTCATTCCCCCTACCTTGAGCAGTATTACAGTGTGTCATTGGAGTGGATCGTTTAGAACAGGAAGCCAAGGACACTGTGTGGTGTTCTCCCAGGGTAAACTCACAGAGATCTCATAGAAGGCTTTGGCAAGATTCTCAGTGTGCACAGAGAGGCATAGAAAGTGGCTTTATTTTTAAGGCTCAGATTCAGCTGAAGGATCCGCTAGGGAATCCAAAGAAGGGAAAGCCTGAGCTTTGGTTAAAATAGCTGGCTTATTCTTGGTTTGACAGTGCACAAAAGCTTTACTGATCTCCCCAGCAGTCACCTGCTAATCTTACACCTTGTGATAAGTAACATACACACATCCTCATTAACATTGTCAGTGACTCTGAAGGGAAGGATATCCAGGAGACTGAATTTCTAATTCACACTGAGTTACTGTATTTTCATAACTCATTGCAATTCTGTGTAGCTACTAGCCCAACACAGGCAAAGCAAAGAAGCTTCTTCAACAAAAGCAGCAATATATCAAATTTCCTGTGAAACTTCCGAATTGCTATGCTTCAAAACCACAATAGTCAGTCATAGGCATATAATTTTACCTTCTAAGTGACATTTTTATTTTTAAAGACAGAACTCTGTGGTGAAAAAAAAACACTACCTTGGTTTATCCATTTTATTGTAAGTAACATTTCTCCAAATTGGGAAAAGCTTGCTAGTTAGTTATTTTTCTCCTGGTAATAAAAGTAATGCAACATAATACTATAAAAAAAATCTATACAATATAGAAAAAAATACTTCAGAAAGTAAAAATCATCTTTAATCTCACCATTCAAATACAGATGCTATTAAATGGTTAAATAGCTGGTGTACATGGCTCTGACACTTAAATATTTTTAATAACATATTAGACATACATGGTTTGAAACGTCCCTTTCCACTTCAACAATATAAATATACATCTTTCTGTGTCAGTCAGGATTGATTTCTTTTTTACATGGCTGCATAATTAACTATTTTTAATGCTTTAAAAAAGCTTGACTTTTTTTACTTTGACAATTAAATTAGTAGAACTCTTTTTGGGGTCATGTGTTTCATGTTGACATCTGACTTGTTTCTAAAGAGAGAAACTTCTAAGTGGACATTAATTAAAATAAATAACCTAACCATTTATAGCTACAAATTTCTGCATATACAAGTACTATGCACAATAAAAACAAAATAAAACCATTAAAATGTCTAAAAACTGTTTATTAGAGTTAGTTTTTTTAAGTTGTTTATGTTGAAATGAATTAAATAGGAATTTTTGACATTTTATGTGTTGCTAAGAATGCCTTACTTAAAATAGAATAAAAACAAAAAGATCAGATGATTTGTACAAAGCAAATGCATTAAAAGCAAAAATTCAATTAATCTAAGAAAGATATTCACTAGGCTTTATTAATTTGAAATTAAATTATGTAAAGAAAAAGGCAATGAATTCTCAAAAGAATCTTGTTTAGGATCAAAAATGATGAAAGAAGAAAAGGGTATAGATAAAAGTTTTAATTGCTTAAGAACATTTTAAGTAATATAAGCAGCGGGCATGAAAAAGAAGCCCCTGACTTATAATATGAAAAATGATTGATTTAAGGGGGTAAATTAAAATAACAAGCCATCATTATCAAATATATCCAACAGCACCAAATCTGTATCTATGGCTTGCCTGATTATTTCCTCCTCTCCTTCTCACAGCACATACAGAAGATGATCTAGAAAGATACCCTTCCTCTACAGATTTACATAATGAAATGGATGATTCCACTTTGGAACAGTGGTGTTTTTTTTTAAATGTTTATAAACTACAATAAGTCTCTTTAAGATTCTAATGAAAGCTGTAGATTCTCTCCCTATTGAACTCTGTATCTGTATTATTGCAGATATATAAGATTCTTCCAGTAGGCCCTCTCCCTTCTTGCTTAGTAATGGAACCCTCAAATTAAGATGATATTTTTTAGTTGCCTTTTTAGCTATGTGTGGCTTATGTAACTAAGCTCTAGTCAATGAGATATAAGTATAAGTATCATGTTCACTTCCCGGGAGTGCTCTTAAAGGTAGAGATCATTGCCTTCTACCATTCCCTCCCCCCTTTCATCTACAGGGCTGGCCTGAATGCTTACACTGTCATTTGCACTAAGATGAGAAAACCAGAGGCTTAGTAAAGCAAGACAAGAGGGAAAAGCTTGGGCCACTGATGATTATGGAACTGCCATACTTGTCCCGGAGGGCTCACTTCTGGAGTTTGGATAGTTTCAAAGGGAAATGAACTTATGTTTTGTTAAGCCACAGTTTCTTGGTGTTCTGTCACAGCTGAACCTACTATTAGCTGACATGTGTATAAACACATACAAGTTTGCCTATGATTTGGGGGATAGTAATCCAGGGATCCCAAATTAAGAATATCACTTTAGAAATATATACACATAGTCCCTGGCTTACGATGGTTCAACTTACAATTTTTTGACTTTATAGTAGTTCTGAAGCATACGCATTCAGTAGAAATCATACTTTGAATTTTGAATTTTCACTTTTTTCCAGGTGAGCCATGTTTGATATGGCAGCCTCCCGTGATGCTGAACAGTGGCAGGGAGCCAGGGATCAGCCAGGCAACACGAGGGCAAACAACCAATACTTGATAATGTACTATTAAATATATTTTCAACTTACAAGAGGTTTATCCAGATGTAACCCCATCGTAAGTAAGGAGCTACTGTATAGGATACAATGATAACCATTTAATGTTTATATTCTGTAATTAATAGTTTTCATACCCATTATCTTTCTTAATATTCACAATCACCCTGTGAAGTATATGTTGTTTTTAATCCCATCAGTATATAGATTAAAAATCAAACATAAACCCCACAAGATTAATTCAAAAGCAAAAACAAACACAGAAGGCCCAGGGTCTACCTTTTCCTCAAAGTTAATAACAGAGTGAACACTATTACCAAGGAGAATGACTTCAAATCTCACGCCTTCATCATTGTTCTAATGACTGTAATGCATGTCCAGGCATCCCCAACTTTTGTAAAAAAATCAGTCTTAAGAACATAGAAGGAAGTTAAATACATGTAACTTAAGAGTAAGGGCTATGTTCTAAAAGGAGGATTTTATTCCCAAATAACTAAAAACTCTAGACATTAGAAAGTTCATAATTACATGAAGTACAAGATTATGATGCAATTTGCATATGCTTATTTACAATATAAGGAGCAAAAACACCCACAACAACCTTTGTTTCATGTGTATTGTGTCTCCAACACCACAGCCCCCCTTTCTTTAGATGACAGACCTTTCCTCAGTGGCGTATAATCCAAGCAGGCCCATCCAAGTGCTCCCACAGCAACTTTATAAATGGACCTAATGGACAACACTTCTTCTCTGGAGGGTGAATTATTAGGACGTGAGTCTGGGGACTCAGGTTCTTAAGGAAAACCTCCTGTGCACTAAAAAATCATCATCTACACATAAGAAGAAGATGAGACAAGAGACAGAGGTGGAGAGAAAGAGAGGGTCCTGCCAGCAATCCAAACCCAGGCTCTCGTCCCTGACATTTCCAGGCTGCCCTGGCTTCTGCAGTCTTTGATTAGACTTAGTTTCCTCCTAATAAAGCCACCTCTTTGTAAAGTTGGTCTGAATTGGGTTTCTGATACTGGCCACCTAAAGAATACTGACTCATATAAACATTAAACATAATAATGTAAATTAAATTCCTAAGCTTTCATTCATTCCTGCACTCATTCAGTATTTATTAGGGACCCACTATGTACCAGACTAAGAGCTGGGAATTCTGTGGTAAGCCAAACAGACATAGTGCCTGACCTTAGGAAGATAAAGAGTTTCAAAGACAAAATAAGTACAAACTAACGAACAAAAGGACACTTTTAATATTGAGAATAGGATGGGAATTTAGTGGTGCTACCTCTGATGACCTTAACCTTTTTAAAACTTTTGTCATGAAAATGTTGAGCCGCCTTCTTTCTGGGCAAAGAGTTCTATGGGGGCCATCTTCCTAACAACATGTCATGATTCTGTGACCTTCTTTCAGCATTTAAAACAATCCATAATTTCAGCAATCCATAATTTCAGAACCCCCTCACTCACTATATATATCTCCCCGTATGTCATCTTCCTAGCATTATATAGTCTAATCGAGCCTATAGACTTACTATTAGTTCTCTTA